ATGCTGCTTGCAATAACATACTACAATAGGCGTCCTTGCGCCAGGTGTCTTTGCGCAATGCCTCTCTGTTCCCCCCTAAAGGCAATATAGGGTGCTGTATACCGACCCCCCACCCTATCTCCTGAAACCAAGATAAGCATTCTGCATGCTGATCTAACAGCCCAGATGAGTATCCTGGCTTCTTTTTATGAGCCCAAGTTATTTATGGCAAAATTAGGTTTTACAGGGGATCGGTAAATAATGTGTTCGTGCAGTATAGTAACATTCGGGGTGAACCATGGACGATTGATCTGAATTTCAGGATGATCAGTCCACACGCGATCGGAATTAATCCACAATTACAACTTCCCAGAATATTATAGTAAAGGATTAATTCCATATCACGTGGGTGACGTAATCGTCCGCGAATTCATCCTAATACAATCTGTGATGTATAATCAGCTTTCTGCCCAGTAAACAGCAAAATGGAAGCAGATGCTTCATTCTTCAAAACGTTTGTGCCAGAAGAAATTCTATTTGTTCTACCCAATATCTACCAAACAATACCAGCTAGGTGTTTCAGCTGTTTGTAGTGATGAAGACTGGTTATCTTTAAGACTGATACCATCTTTGATGCATGTGTTCCCATGAGATCCAGGAGAAGCTTCAGGAAGTACCAATCTGGGGGACTGAGCAGCTGGCCAAACTCACATCTGAAACGTCTTCCAAAAACTCTAGATATTTTAATCCATTTTATATGACCCAATTCCTATGGTAAAGCAATATGGCAGTACAATGTATATTGTGTTCAGATGGCAGTGTAAAAAAACACATTTAAGCAGAACTATATCACTTCACTCTATAAATGTGATGCGGTGTATCTTTCTATTTCTACAGAACTATATATAAGCTTCTCGGAAACCCAGTTCACCAATGACCAACATGCCTGATCGTGCTTGAGAACCAATCAACTGCATATAAACATGCCTTCTTTGACATAAACCCAGATGGGTAAAGAGAAACTAAAACGTCCTTGAACAATAAACTTTGCGGCAGTACATTACAGTTTATCTCAAAGTACATCTTGTGTAGTACCAAGAATGGCTGACCAGCAATGGCTTTCCAAACTAAAAGACGAGCTTGGAAAAAGTCCTATGACTTTAAACACTGTCATAGGTTTCGTCCTCTTGGGGCTGGAGAAGATGACAGAACTGGAATTTCAGTGTCCGTGCAATCCTTATAGGAATGCATTGTTTTCCTCAGCATTCTTTGTCATTCCAGCAATAATGTCTATTATTGTGATGCTGATCGCAAATAAATTCAGATGTGCATCGGGAAAGTGTTGGGAAAAGTGTGGCAAGCTGATATCCTGCTTTATGCCAGGAATGGTGTGGCTGACCCTGCTGTGCTTTGATGGCAAATACTACACCTGTGCAGCTACAAGCTGGGAAGGAGAATATGTCAACATGGACAGTGATGGCTCTCTGAAATGGTGTCAACCTATGCAAGTGAATGAAACTGAAATGAAGCGACGGAGGCTTCATTTTGAAGATTCCATGTTTTGGTCTCAGGTAGGAACTCTGCAATAAATAAATAGATAAGATAAAATTGCCAAATTTTGAATCACATACTACTGTTGTCCATTGCTGGATAATTAGTGAATATAAGTATATCTCTTACTGTACATGGACATTGTTCAGCAATTTTGTCAATTAAATCAACAATCATGCAACATATTATTTTGCTTTGACTTCTGAATACTTGTCTCATATATTTTTTAGGTTGCGGGGTTTATACTGCTCGGTTTCATCTGTCTGGGACTTGGATTCTACTCATGTTACGAATGCTGCAAAAAAGGAGAAAGCTTCGATCCCCGCCTACAAATGAAAGAATTCTGAAACTTGGAAGCCCAGAGTTCTGGTCAACAATGATCCTCAGAGATGTCATCATCATGTAATAAATGCATGGTATTTTTATTAAATATATCCTTCCATTGTTCATCACTCTTTGTTCATTCAACTAAGAAAAATAAAAACAATGTGGCTGCAGACTAATATTGTTATAGTTTTAATTTTTTAATATTATTTTAAATTTTCATTTTATTTCGAGTTTCATACATTTTAAAGATATATTTCTATTTAGTTTTTATATATTTCAGTTTCAGTTTAACTTTTAATAATTTTATTTCTAGGGATAGACTGAAAGTTGTAGAGCTATTTTAAGTGTCCTCCATGAATACACAGTGCACATATCTACTAATGTCCTCAAAATGGACATAATATGTTATAGGTATTATTAATGGGTTACAAGTAACACTGTGAAGACCAGTACAAAAAGCTACTGTGAGAGAACAAATGACTAGAGGGATATTTTTGTATTCAGTTTTTGGAGTGTATTTTTATATATTGATGCAAGAGTGCCGGTGTGTTAGGCAGCTAACACCCAAGAATATAAGCTCAAGAGAATTAAGAGTTAACCTTAGTGTAGCAATATGTACTTGAATTTTGTGCTCATTAGATTTAGCAGAAATTGAGGCTGGAGAACAGAAATGTAAGTTTGGAGCATGCTGATCGGACAAAACAGGAAAACCACAAAGAAGCTACACACAGGCGGGGGCTGCAAGCAACCCAATGTAATAAAGGTTGTGGAAAGTGCAGATGCTCCATGCCTGCAGGATGCAAACTGCATAAAGCACATGTGTTAAAATGTATGTGCCCCATCCCAATCGGTTTGATCCGGTTCTGGGAAGGGGGCGCAAGCTATGCGTACCACTATAAAAGGTATGTTAACTTAATGTTCTTTGAGCATTACCACTGAGGTAGCAGTGAGGCGGTTGCTCCCTGAATTCAGAAATAAAGCGACATCATACTCTGAAGCACCGACTGAGTGTCATAAATTTCTACCACACTACCTGCATAGCTACCGAGAACAGCTCCCTTACAGACTTTCAGTAGTACCTTGACCCACGAACAGTCCCGTTCACAAACGAATCGGGTTATGAACCAGATGTTCGAAAAAATTTTGTAATGGTTTGTAATGTAATTTTGTAACCCTAATCCCAAAACGGTGGAACTGCACATGCGCAGAAAGGCTCGATAGCACGTCTCGATAGGTAGTATGTTTTGTCAGAACACCGGCACACATCGGGTACTGACATCCTGTTATGATCACGTGTTTCCTGTGTAGATGACGTATTTCCGGTGGAGCTTCACTCTACAGGCGTCTGCAGCTGGACCCTTCTCGATAAGACAACTGCAAATAATTTAGAAAATCGATTTGTTCAGACCTACGAATCGGTCAGACCCTTTCACTAAAAAAAAAAACGAGTTAAAAAGAATGATTTGTTCGCGAATCGGCCATCACTACAGAGCTGCTTCGAGACGCAGACGCTTAAGTCAGTCACTCTTGTTCTTTTTATTCATATCACGAAGCTGTAAAAATATATTTAGTTTCTAACTATATATATTTGAAAATTAGACCGTCCAAGGTTTCCGAGGGTGTTTTTAAAATGGGTAAAAACTCGCAGAGTTATTTAAAGGCTTTGGCGAAATTTCTGTCAGATCCCCCCGGCGGGACGGCCAACTCCAGAGGGTTGTCTATATTCTTGGTCACAGAAAAACATAAAAATAAATAAATAAATCAGTGTTTCTGAGGTTTGAACGAATTATTTGTATTTATATTATCTTAAATGAGAAAAATTGATTCATGTTGCAAACTTTTCGTGTCACGAAAAGGATCTGGAAGCTGCTCTACAGTCCACAAACGAATTAAGTTTGTGAGCCGAGGTACCACTGTATTCATGCTTTGTCTTATTTGCATGGTTCCATTTGAATGGTGCGATTGCTATAATGGTCTTAGCTAATTGTGTTAGCAACTTACATAGTTGGATCCATGCAACTCAATGAGTCCAATTATGTAAGTTGTTAGGGGAGGGGGTGCGTCAAGATGGCGAACTAAGCAGTTGTCTTTAACTTAGCTCTGGTGCGTGGTGCCTTTTATTCCTCTTTTTAGACGTTTTGTTCCCTCGTAGAGTTTAAACTGACTTCACAAAGATGCCAAAAGAACAGAAGAAGGATAATAGGGACAGCAAGTCTTCCAAAAATGGCAAAATACAAGATTTGGCTTCAACTACGGATGACCATGACTACTGCCTATCAGACGTGGCGTTTGAAAGCGGCGGCGGAGAAAAAAGAAATCTTGAGGAAATGAATGACCTGCTTTTCCTTATTCCATCTAAAGGTGTCCACCCAAGAAAGATTGCCAAACCCAGTCCCACAGCGAGCGACATATTGGCAGCAATTCAAGCTCTCCACGTACGATTTGATAAGCAAGATGACAAAATGGCGGACATTAACAACAAATTATCGGAGAATGCCTCGTTGATTGCCAGTCTTGCTGAATCCATCGAATTCAATGCTGCCGAAGTCCGGAATTGTAATGGTAAAATCGCGGGCTTGGAGAAGGAAGTCTCTACCTTGCGGAGAGAAGTTGGAGAACTCAAAGAAAAGGCAAGAGAACGAGACCGGTATTCACGAAGGTGGAATCTAAGGATCAAAGGAATGAAGGAAAGCATGGGCGAAGATACCAGAAAAGAGGTGATCAAAATTCTTGCCAAGATCGCCCCAGAATGGTCAAATAATATGGAGAACAATGTGGATACTGTGCATCGGATTAGGAGAAAAGAAGAGGGCAGAAATCGTCAAGTCATAATTCAGTTTACAAAACGCCTACACCGAGACGGTATATGGAAGAAGTCTAAAAATGCTCAAATCTGTGAGAGTGAAAAAATCCGTTTTGCCGAGGACCTGTCGGTGGAGGATCATCTGGAGAGGGAGAAAGTTTGGCCAAAGATTTTACAAGCCAGAAATGCGGGGGAGAAAGCTTACTACAGAGGAGCTGTCGGTTATATTGATGGCCGTCGCGTTCTGGCGGATGGTTGAATAGTATTCGCTCCTGTTTGTTCCTTATACTTTGTAACTAGAGGGACGACTGACAGTTTTTGAATGAGATGGAAGGCGCCGGCACCGCTGTTCTTTCAGCTTTCCCCAAACAGGGTAGTACACTAACCTTTTTCTCTTTTCCAACGAAGTTTGATACTCTTGATATTAGCAATCTATTTTTGTTTACTTTTAATGTTACGCACGTGTTTATCCTTTGTATCTTTGAATGTTAGAGGTCTCAGGGACAATGTTAAAAGAAAAGCAATGTTTATGTTTATCAAAGGGCTAAAAGCTAACTACATCTTATTACAAGAAACTCATTCAAGTGACGCCGATGCCACCTTTTGGTCAAATCAGTGGGGTGAAAAAAATTCTCTTCAGCCACGGATCCAACCACTCTGCGGGAGTAGCTCTCTGTTTCTATCGATGTCCAGGAAAGGTCGTAACTTTTCAGACTGATTCTTCAGGACACTGGCTGGCAGTTGTATTGAATATTGATGATTCATTTGTGATTCTAGTAAATGTATATGGGTATTCCTCTCTAACTCTAAATAAGCTCATGCTGGACAAAATAACAGATGTTCTTTCCGAGTATAAACATTTATACCATACAGACCATGTATTACTAGGCGGCGACTTTAATCTTGTTCCGAACGAATGGCAGGATAGGAATCCCCCCAGATACTGTACTAATCAGTGGAATCCAACTCTGACGGAGTTCATTGACTCAAACAATTTAAGTGATATATGGAGAGAGAAAAACCCTGGAATTACCCAATTCTCTTGGATTAAACCAAATGGTAATATGTCCAGACTGGATCTGTGGTTGGGCTCGACTTTACTATATAGATGTGTTTCACATGTTTCTATCTCAGCAGCCCCGTTGACAGATCACAGTATTATTATTCTTAAACTTAACCCTGAACATAAAACGCAATTTAAAAGAGATTATTGGAAATTTAATGCAGATCTGTTAAGTGATGATGGGTTTGTTGAGCTAGTTAAAAAGCAACTTCATAAAATTTACAATGATATGACAATAGGCAACTACTTACATAGATGGGAATTTTTTAAATTTAAAGTTAGAGAATTTTCAATTACATTTAGTAAAAGGAGAATAAGAAAACAGAAGGAATTTGAAAGTGAATTACTTTACAGTATAAATATTTACTGTAATAGACAAGTTATGTCAGAGAATGATAAGGAATCCCTATTGTCTTTACAGGCTCATGGAGCATACATTAGAGCTCGTGCAAGATGGATATAAGAAGGTGAAAAAAGTACTTCATATTTCTACAATTTGGAGAAACGGAGGCAGGAAAAAAAATCTATTAATACATTATTTGTAAATGGGGAAGAATGCACAAATCACAAGACTATAGCGGAAGAATTACATAAATTCTACTCAGTTCTATACTCCTCGGAATATCTAATTACTGATTCATCACGTTTTTTTGATCAGATTGAACCTCATATTCCAGTAATCGACTCTGTATTCAAAGAATTTTGTGATTCTGATATATCACTGGTTGACTTAGATCAAGCCTTAAACTAAAAATAGGTAAAGCTCCTGGTCAGGATGGCTTGACTGCAATCTTTTATAAATTTTTCTGGAAAGAAATAAAGCAATTTTTCTTCAAAACTATTAAGGAAATAATTAGTAATGAGACGTTAATTCCAACAATGAAACAGGGTCTTATCTCTCTTATCCCCAAACCTGGTAAAGATAAAAGACTAATCGATAATCTACGACCAATTACACTATTGAATACAGATTATAAAATCTTTGCTCATGTAATCGCAAATAGATTAAAGGACGGTAAATTTAGAGCAAATTATTAGTGAAACACAATCCAGGTTCCTTAAAGATCGCTCTATCCACAATAATATTAGATTGGTCTTGGATTTATTGGATTATAATCACTTAATTGATAATGATGGTGTGATTCTTTTTTTAGACTTCTACAAGGCATTTGACACGGTTGAACATCCTTTTATCTTAAAGGCTTTACACCATTTTGGTTTTGGCAAAAAATTCATAGATTTAATTTCTTTATTATACTCTGACATTAATATCTGTATTTCTTTACCTTTTGGAACATCTAAACGCTTCAATGTTAGACGTGGAATCCGTCAGGGGTGTCCAGCTTCTCCGTTACTTTTTATTGTTGTAACTGAATTGCTAGCTATTTTTATGAAACACAATCGAAATATTCAACCATTGAATTTGATGGGAGTCCCGTTGATCATAAGTCAATTAGCAGACGATACTACACTGTTTTTAAAGAACATGTCACAGGTTCCTCTCGCACTAAGTGAAATTTCACTATTCTCAAAAGCTTCTGGTTTGTACCTGAATATTAGAAAATGCGAATCATCTATCCATGATTGTCAATCTAGTAGCCCTCTTAACATAGCTATTAAAACTGATGTCAAATATTTGGGTATTATAATCTCAAAGAATACAAATAATAGAGAATATTTAAATTTTGAGCATTTTACCCAAAAATCTAAAAAGATTTTAAACAGTTGGCTACAAAGAGACCTCTCCATCTTTGGACGCGTCTTGCTTACTAAAACAGAAGGTATTTCTCGTTTTATTTATCCTTCACAATGTTTATATGTTTCCAATAGGTTAATCAAGAGGATAAATCAAATTAATTACAATTACATTTGGAGAAACAAGCACCATTATATTAGGAAGAATGATATAGTGAAGTCATTTGAAGAAGGGGGCTTGAATGTGATTGATTTTGAAGCAATGGACGGCTCCATCAAACTTAAATGGTTGCAATCTTTCATTAGTAGTTCAAATAGTATTTGGTTTTATTTCCCCAAAGTAATTTTCGAGAAACTTGGTGGCGTTGAATTTCTTATGAAATGCGACTTTGAAATTTCCAAATTACCAATTAAATTATCAAATTTTCACAAGCAGGTCCTCCAGTACTGGAAAATGATATACAAGCATAATTTTTCTCCACATACAAATTCGATTTGGAACAACAGATGCATACTGATAAAAAGAAAGTCCATCTTTTATAAGGATTGGATGGATCATGGGATTTGGACAGTTGTACACCTTTTAGACAATGACGGAAATGTGTTAACTTATAACAAATTCATAGATATTTATGGCATATCGTGTACCGAAAGTAAATTCATTAAGGTTGTGAAAGCCATTCCCCTTGCGTTGATTCAGATGGCTAAATCCAGTTTAATTTATTCTTTCTCTATAATTCGTGAACCGTCCTT